AATAGATGATTTTATTAAACATCTTTTGGAAGACCATATAAGTAACACCTGTAGATGTTAATAGAAACAGAAACTCAGCAGGTCTGGCAGCATCTGTGGACAATGGAACAGAGTTCATGTTTTGTGTCCAATATGACTTCTTCAGAGCTAGCTGCATTTCTCCAGTATTTTCCATTTTTATTTCAGATTTCCAGTATCTGCAGTATTTTGCTTTTATCTGTAGACCTTACCCTGTCCAATACTATACTCTACACACTTTTCAAACAAATCTATCAGCTTTGTCAAATATGATGCGTCCTTTACAAATTGGCTCTCTGAGACCAGATGAAGCTTTTCAAGGTGTTTAGTCACTCAAGTTTAGATACTGGTAACTTTCTGGCACAGGTAATTGGTGGGTTGATCTATAATTTCCTTGCAGCCTTATTTCACTTTATTTAAATGGCAGACTGATGCATGGATATACTCAATCGAGACATGGTTTCTGGACTGAGAGTACCTTGGACTATTATAGTTAGAGCATTCCTGGGATGGAAATAATTTTCATTGTTTTATTTATTACAGTTAATTAACTTATTATTAATTTTGGTGAGGCTTTGCCTTTTATTCATTGTCAGTTTCCTTAGGATGTCCGCATTGTGATGACCTCCACAACTTTGCACTCATTTACTGATGCAAAGGAATTCTTCATCATGCCTGCTACTTCCTTATTTTCATCAACAATATCATCATTATCAGTTTGCTCCTTCCACTTGCCTTTCTTGAAATAAAATTTTGTACAAATATTTGTGTTGATAGAAATCTCTCTTGAATGTTTATTTTCATTTACTTCCTATATTTGGCCTTTACTATTTGGTCACCCTTTGTTGTTCTTTGTATCTTTCCCATTAACCATGATGGGTACTTTATTTTTGTTTATTTTCTCTTTTAGTGTTATGTTGTCTCTCATCCCTTCAATCATCCATTTATATTTTTCCCTATGGCAAGTAGACAACTTGCCTTTTATGATATAAACTGTTTCTGTAACATATTAAATGTATTTTAATGTCCCTTCCTTTCATCTCCTATCAT